AGTTTGCCTAATGGCAATTAGAGTCTTTGCAGACAGGATATGTACAGATGTCACTGGGGCGATTTCGTCTTTGGGCGGTCGTCGAAGTTCAAATTGCTCCAATTAAACTTTGATCGGGCCGGGCTCTTCTGTCGCGAGCCAAGACACAACGACACGCGATTGGACCATTGACCTCCGATACTCGAAAACTTTCAACGAGCCATCTTGCGTCGAGCACGAACCCTCTCTCTCTCTCTCTCTCTCTCTCTTGTAGAGTTTAACGAGTTCGATCTCGACACGTAAGAAATCATGGGACCAGGCAGTACTGCTCGAAGTAAGAACAACGGTACTCGAAATAATAACGATTGCTCTCTTGAATTTCGAAAGGACGGCGCGACGGTGTGAACCAGCGTGGCTTAATAGAAGCAGCAGGCAGCACAGCTGCTTAACGTCCAACAAATTGCGCGCAATTCGAAACAATTTAGCGCGCAGAGAGGCACGTTGATTCGACTCGCAGTGAAACTTCCTTAATCCTAGCCAGGTCCGTATTGACGTTCGGATAATTGGGTGTTGTAATTTACATGCCTGCTTAATATGCCATAATCACTTCGCTCGATGTAATGGCGGCTTGTGACGCATCGACGCGACTCGACAGTGTAGCCCCGTTTAATGGCGCTAGTTATAGTCTGTTGTTCGCTGCTCGACATCAAATGCCGAGCTGATTTGATTCCCCTCTTGGTCGGACACGATGTTCCGAGCTCGTTTCCTCGATAAATTCTTGCGTGCTTTACGTACTCGATTTAAACAGATTTTAGGAAGTTTGGTACAGTCGATGGAAGAAATGTAAAATTGGTAAAATTGGTCAGGTGTCGAGGTGTAAACTTGGAGCATATCGCAAATGAATCGGGAGAAATCTGAACTTTGAATCCTAATTGGAGAATGTAAAATGCTACATTTCGACTTGAGGTGTCGAAGTTTACACGTTGGAACGGAAATTTGAGAAGATAAGATACATTTCTTCCGCCGACTATACCTTCACACTTGACAATTTCGTCGTTCCGCGAGAATCACTGTGCACAGTCTCAGATGCGTAGGAATATACGCCGCTTAAGCTAAGGTTCGAATTAAAGCTCGTTTACTTTCATTCCGGCAGAATATAGACTTTCTTTCAGGAAGCGTTAAGCGGGCGATTTCGAGAGAAGCGCACACTCCTCCCTTATCAGTCGGCGAAGCAATTGCGGCTTATCAGCTGGCCAAGACAAACCGTGGAAAGAAGATTATCGGAGAAAATACATTCTTAAACGTATTCAGCGCACGTTGTAATGGTTTAAAGCGAGTCTACGTTCCGCGATCCTGGTAATCCACGACGAAACCGCCCCATGTACATCCCAGCCAATACCAGGGCTCGCGTCGAGCTCTCAGAAAGGAAATAAGGTACATCGGTTCCCATCGATATCCGCTGTATATGATTTACAAGCAGTTCTCTTGGAATTTATTCAGCGACCTGCGGCCGAGGCGGACAAGCTCGATTTGCAGCATCGCGTTGTCGCGATACACGTAATCGAATCCTCCCTATCGAGTCGAGGATCTTCTTAAATACCCTCGAATACCATTGGAAATCTGTACGATCGTGAATCGAACATCTCCTATGGAGTACTGTCGTATTCGAACTAGCTATAGAAATGCATCGTTTCGTCGTTTCGAAAATTCCATCAATTCAGCGACGTTCGATTGGAACATCTGTAGGAAATTTTACGAGCGCACGCGACGAGAAGAGGCGAACCTATCGTTTCCAAAACTCGGCCGAGGACCAGCGATCACCGTGGATACTATTTCTGTACATCAGAAGAAGATTCAGTGTACACGGTCTGAGGCTCGTCGACCCTGACTCAATTTCGAACACGACCCAGCTGCCCTCGTTTGCCCAATCCAACGCGTTTCGTGGACCGTCTGAAAGAAACGAGCATTCCTCCTTTCTCTCCTCTCGGACTGTACTAAAACGAAGAAGAATTAAACCTGTCATACAGAGTAGCCTCACAATTCGAACGACTGTTACACGCTCGATCACGTTGGAAAAGTCAACTTTTCAGGGAGTCGTTCGAAGAAGTATTTTCCGCGTGCAAGTCACGAAAATGAATTTTCACCGCTGCCCGATTCTTCAAGATTTATCGATTCGTTATCGAAACGTCCCGTTCGCACGATCACGGCTAGGTCGAAAGTGGTCGGGACCAATGATTTATTATTCCGACCCGCATTCGCCAGATCGTTTTATGCAATTACTCTTTTCTGCACAGCGAACGTCGAGCGACTGGGCAAGAAGGGAGCGAGAGAAAGAGAAAGAGAAGGTTCGTGTTCACAGACAGGAGCAAGAGTGGCGTAGAAGTTGTTTGTTCGTCGCGATTCGTAATGCGTTTCCTTTACGAACGATCGCTACTTCTGATACAACCGTGAGCCATCGCCACGCTATTAATTCTCTCTCCTCGGTTCTCTATCTAGCAGCTCGTTTATTATAAATTCACCTCGGTTCGCCACTGTTTATTCGACGACTGGTCGACTCGCCGCGGCGCGGCGGGGGGAAAAAATTGATGCGTTTCTTTCGACTCGTCGACGTGCGCGAATGCATTGTATCGACGAGCCGGGGGAGAATTTACTGGCCGGAGATCTCCTCTCGTCCAGGGAGCGAAACGAAACTACCAGGGTGTATCAATCACGGCGCCGCGCACCATGCACGCTGCTGGTGGATACCTTCTCTCCCTTCCTCCCTATCTATCACGTTCACTCTATCTCTACCTACGATTTCGTCCAAGTTCGAGTTTGGCGACGAGTTGAGAGGAACTTATACATATGAAACGAACGGAATATCAACGCGCCCGCCAACTGCGACGCGCACTGTTACCATCCAGTTAATTCCTCGAGTTAGCTGGATAAGCGAGGATTCGCTTCCGTAATAAATTTACTCCTCTTTCGTGTAATATACTTCGTGCCACGAATATGGAACGATACGAGTGAGATTTTTGCAACACGGAATTTCCTTCCGATTTAACTGTATCAATAAGGATCGTGATGTTATCCGACAGCTAAATGGATCTTCTGCAAGTCTAAGGAGAAGGGTTTCTGAGATTTTAAAGCAGTAGTTCTGAAACTGGGTGCCGCAAGCACGCCATAAGGGTAACTTTTCTGTTTTTCAAATACTGTTGCATCGCAGGAAATCGCGATGAACCCTCGGTGTGGCGGATTATCGTCATAAACTTGTTCAATCACACTTGGCCGCCAGACCGAGGTACTCCCCGTGAAGAGGTCACGTGCGCGGTGGAAAGTAACGCGGCAACCCCTGGGAAAAACCCAATGTTAACAACAATCCCTTTCCCTTGGAAGGAGCGACATCCCACCTAAACAACCTACACCCCACAGAGGAGGGGGAGGAAATCGGCCACCAATCAGCAACTGGTCGAGTTGATGAAATCAAGGGCACGAAGCAGGAGCGCGTCTTTTTGGCAGTCTTTTGGCAGTTGGTCACGGAAGAAATAGTATTTTGATAGTCACGTCGCAATATCACCTTAAGTTATCACTCTTGTTGTAAATTAAAATAGTTGTTACAAAAAGCAGATTCGTCTCAGTTCTTAGCATTTCACACTGAATGAATCGAAGTGTGAATAAACTCGCGTACCGAGCATTACGCGACCCGAACAAATACGTCGCATCTTTCATATCTTTACTAACTGTAGAAAGCAAAAAAAAAAATAATAATAATAGGGGTGCCGTGAATTTTGTTTAACGATTTCAGTGTGCCGCCAGACAAAAAAGTTTGAGAACCACTGTTCTGAAGTATGGAAAGTGTTAGATATTTCAAAGCTTCTGGAAAATGTCACCGTTGTTTCTTTTTCAAATTCTCAAACCCACTCGAACGTACGCGAATTAGTCAAAAACACAAGTGTTGCGACCTGATGAGGACGCAACGAAGACGCCAGACCAAGGTGCCGACGTTCGGAAGACCGCAATATACCCCCCGTGGACTCACTAGCGCGATGTGTTGCGACCTGATGAGGACGCAACGAAGTCTCGGTTCGGCGGATTATAGTGATAAGCCACTTAGTCACATTCGGCCGCCAGACCAAGGTGCCGACGTTCGGAAGACCGCAATATACCCCCCGTGGACTCACTAGCGCGACATTCAGATAATAGGTCCCAAAAACACTCGGGACCATAAAACATTCGTTACCAAAAGGTCACAGTTTTCGTCGACCAATAGCAGAACACACCCCGTTTTCCACCTCCGTAACACAACCACCAATCAGAACCAACCTAATGCCTGTATATACATCTACACACCTGAAAACCGACAGTCACAGTAAAACGAGAGCACGAGACACATCGTCAAAAAAACAGAATAACCGAATTTCAACTAAACATCTATCAACCATCTACCTCAACGAACCAAAAGAAACCCAACGACGAAGTTTCAATACACCTCGAACCAGCGAGAAATATCATCAACCTGCGCCAGAACTCCTGGTCATAAGATTTGATCAAAGTCCACGACGCAACAACAAGAATTAGCTAACATGTGGGCCTCAAGGGTCTCCATCGTAAATTACGTCCTTCCCAAAAATCCGAAAAAAACTCAATAGAAACGACCATTAGTAGCTTTCACCGACGTTATATCTACCCTCGCGCACGCATTTTCAAACAGAAAAAAGTTGGCATCTAAAAATTACGCTCTGATTAAGATCCTCGTACTTGCATAATTACAATAAAAAAATCGGTCACCTCTAGGCCTCGCGACAAAATTCTGAATTTAAAATCTCGCGGCCTTAATCCTCCGTGTCTTACAAAATATCCTCGGTCTTTCGTTTTATTTCGACAAATATTCAAGTGAAACGCGTAAACACGCCGCGAAACACTTTCGACGAAAGTCGACATCCCTACAAAAACTTGTTGTCATTCCAAACTTCCGTGGACATTTTTTTCCACGTTCCTGCTCGACGATCGGCGAGCACGCGAGCGAGCGAATGTTTACTCACCTTCCAGGACTCTGACACACTCGGTAAGGTTCGGATAGTTGTCCGGATAGTTCGGGCTGTAAAATTCCTGTTTAGTCTCGTCCCCGACGCTGAACTTCTCGCACACGTCGGGCACGTGCCTCATTTGACGACGTACGACATCGTTGGCGATATACGGCGTCGGTACCGTGCTGCTTACGAGCCTCTGATTTCTCCGCGAGTGTTGTGGCAACCTGACTTCCTTCGTCGGCACTATCTGCGCATATTTAAAAATCACGTGATAATTCCTTGGAAAACTGTTTCCCTCGAAGCGAGAAAGTACTATTAATGGGCTAGCGTTACACGAAGCACGAAGACGCTCGAAAATTTCCACGATCGATGAGCAATAATCCTCTAATGCTCAGGTGTCAGGTCGTTAATTAAACGGGGCCCGAACGACGCTTTGGGCAACTGTTATCGTGATACCGTTAAATTATAGTTATCGACCTGACGTGAAATTATTAGCTAGCTGGAAAATATATCGCGACCATTATTGCGTTTAGAACGCGGCGCTTCGTTTGAATTACTAGGTTCCTTTCTATCGGTAAACCTGAGAGATTCCGTTAATCTCTTCGTGTTCTAACCGCTAATCAAACCGTGAAATCGACGAAGAGACACACGTTAACCGACGGAAAGTTGATACGACTTACGTTGTCAAAACTGCCCGAGGGAAGGATATCCTTGCCGTGGCTCGATCGTTCGGGCGTTGATTGGATAAACGTCCTCGAGGCGGATGGATTTATCTTCTGGCTGATGTCAGACGTCCTCCACGAGGACACGGTCGAGTTTATCACTTTTCCCGTGTCGTTGTTCGCCGTTCTCGAAGACGTCGCGGTGGTAGCGGTGGTGGTTACCAGGCTCCCGTGCATCTCGATCTTCTCTTCCTCCTCGTCGTCCTCGTCGAGGCTCTCGCTGGCCGACTCTAGCAATTCCACGGTGACACCGGTGCTAGAGGTATCCGCGTACCAGGAAGTTGTCTGACGGAACTTTCCGATAGATTTGCTCTCTCCAGTGGTGCGGTCCGTGCTCGAGAACCACCAACCGAAGGTTCGACCGCTTCTTCTCGCGTCGTACGTACTCCACCGTGACTCCTCAGTCTCGCGTGTGGCTTCCGCGGCCGTACCAGTGACTGAAACATTAATGGCCAAAGGAAACTAGTTATTGCTTGTCGTTTCATAGCTGCATGATTAACGGAGGAGTATGCCACCGGGTCTTATATCTAAGAAGCACTGTATCCTTCACCTGCACATTCACTCTTTCTCTATTTTACCACCCATCTTGTTCAATTCAGATCAGGACACATTTGGTCGCATTCACCTAAAACCTATGCCCACGCATTTCATTTCGCAACCTAATCTCAACAACTCTGTCGAAATATTCTTCTCGAGTACCTCCGACACCCGAAACTCAATTTCTGTCTATGCAAATGTCGACCGATGTCATCTGCGATATTTCTCGGAGGTATAAATCGGTTTGCAAATGCTCGAAACGGTAGATTTCACACGGGAAGTAATAAAAGTGTCGAAACGTCGAAGCATCGGATTAGGTCAGGTTAGCAGCTGTTATTCATTTATATTTGCAATGGAAAGTTCCGTGGACGTGTATAAATCACTCGATAAATCTGCGAAATATGAATGTTCCATGCGATTCGACAACGTGGATCTTATCATCCGCAACAGCTGTCGCCGGAAATTGATTTCGCCGCGGAGCGAGAATTTTTGGCTCCCGTCAGATCTCCGTTCTTTCCCTCTCGTTAACACCTGTCTGCCTGTACGTCGACGGTAGGTAATCCCTTCGAAATTGCATTCGCGAAGTTCCACTGGCAATGGCTTTTTTTCGCCCTGGGACCACGTGAACGCGTGGAGAGGGAAAGTGGCGCGGAGATAATTTGCTGGAAAATAGTTTAAGACAATCGAATGGAGAAAAGGGGAAGAGGTGGTGCAATGAGATGCAACTTTGTCGCGAGTTGTAAGTTGAACTCGCGGAAAAACGCGATTCTCCAATCGTTTTCCGCAGCGCCTTTCTTCTTTTTTTCTTTTTCTTTTATCTCATTCCCGATGCTGTCTATCAACGCAGCACGATTTCAGTTTGACAGCAGTCGACGCACAAACGGAATCGGATTCCGTTCGGTTCGTAACTGAATTTCCCACGGACTTGCGTGCCCGGCTTCCTCGAAAGGCCACCGGCAAAACGACCGCGTAAACTGGAATTCGTTATCGACCGACTGAATTGCGAAATCGTCGAATGATCAGCAGAGTGGAACGATCTCTGCTTTGTGCGGCTAGATGTGGAAAAAATAAATACGCTTTAGCTGTTGGTATGCTTAACGAACGGAAAATGAAGCAGAATTCTGATTACATTGCCGAGGTGTTGAAGCATCGCTTAATAGGAGATACGAAAATTCTGCTGTTTGATTTTTTCGAAAAAGAAGGTCGGAACGAGAGGATTTTATTTTTACCAGATCCTTTTTTTGGAATATATTCTGTACGATCCAGCGAGACGAAATGTTACGTACAGTAGCGTAAAAATGTCTCCTCGAGGTTGGTATTCCGTAGTTTAATAATCCGTCTGACCTCCATAAAAAGACCTGCAAAGATTCTCCTTATGTACTACTTTTCCTTGTGCCTCGAGAGTCTTTCAGGAATTAAGATTCCAAGCGGAATAAGCTTTCCTTGTTCTCTCGTCAAGCACGGAGTGCAGACGACAAGAATAGCGATTCACAAAGGACTCGTTTCTTCAAGGAGCATTATTTAGAGATTTATGATACCATCGGAGGCTTTTTCCTTCCGTCCCTGTAACAGATAGAACTGGAACGTCCTAACGTTCCCGACACGATCTAATCAACCCGACCCATACGTCATTTTCTTTCGCCGACAGACCATTAATTTGCATCGTTCGCGGACGTGCCTTTTCGCTATGAATCGAGTTCCGTAATCGACCCACCTGCCCTCGTGCGACTCGGAAATCTCATTAGCAAACATTAGCGTGCGAGACACGAACGTTTGCACGCTGACGCTTCTTCTTCGCCGGTTTCTGCATTTCAAAGGAAAACGCCTCGACGCAAACCCGTCAAGAATTCCACGTGCATTTCGTTGCTCTCGCGTACACAGATTTTTTAGCCACTTTGGATAATTTGACAGGAAAACTAGTCGATACTCGACGATAAAAATTGCCTTCACTTTTTTTTAATACTCAGCGATATGAAAGTTTGAGCGATAGCTGTCTGAGAAAATCACCCTCGGTAATAGTCCGGCACGAAATCTATTCTTTCCACGCTGCTGTCCAAGATGAAATGTGAAACTCTATCGGCGCTGCGTCGAGACGTGCAGCTATTTGCAAAGCCTTCGCGACGCGTTCGCGCTCGAGCAATCCTTCTCCGCTGTCTCGCGAGCCTTTGTGCCTTCGTCGAACACTCTGTGCGTTTGAAAGAAAAGAAATTGCACGGAGATCGAAGAGCGTGTAGCTAGATTAAAGACGGACGGAGCTGTCACTTCGAATTGCAAATACGCGGGGATCGGTAAAATTGTTTCGTTTAATTTTGCGAAATTACGGGGTAGTTTGAAGAGCGAATGCCGCTCCGTCAACCACCGTTGCTTTGACTGCCGTATCCTGGAATTTCCGAAACGCGACGTCGCCATTCTGTCGAGTTTCCTCGAGAATCTCGAGGAGTTTTCGCGGACTGTGTTCTCCTCTGGCGAAAGCCAAGAGATGTGTATCTTCTCTCGGCGTTAGCAGAGTAAATCTGATCATTGCACGCGCAGGACACCTCGTATCCTTCCTTTTCTCCTCCTCGACGCTGCTCCGTGGGACAATTTAAAAGCGCGTTCCCATCTTCCATCACGTCCACGCCACCAGGAAGAACTATCCCCGCATTAGCCTTCTTCTTCCGCGCGGTGCAAAGATTTTACCGCGTTGTTTACGACTTTCTTCCTTTTTCATTCGGGATTCTCATCTTTCTCCGACCGAGATACCTCGATCCTCGTCCTCCTTCCTACCCACTCCTCTCGCATTTTTCTCTCGACCTTCTATCCCCCGCGACTATCGTCCGCGTAATTGTTTCGTTCGCGGCGGATTTCGCGTCTTATCTCACCCCGAGCGTTTCCTTTTCTTCGTAGTTTTTAACCTACCGCGCTCCAGCGATTCGATTATTTTTCTTGCGGTGTATGGAACTCGCGATAACTTGCCGGGATGAAGGAAACCAGTACTCGAAGGGTTATTCAGCTGTCGTTTCTCAGAATGTTGCACCTAAACAGTTAGTAGTCTAACTGAATTTACATAGTTTTTCCATCGATCTGCCGATACTTCTCAAGGATTCTTCACCGCGATGCATCGACGCAGCGGGCTCGTTGGACAACGCGGAAACAACAAAAGGCCAAGGGATAAATGGCCGTGAAAGCTGCATAATAATTCGAAGGTACAAATTGCTGGACGGGTTTAACTATTTATATTAGGTACCGCGATGTCAGGCCACACACCAGCCCGTGTATTACCTTCTATTTATAATTTCCCACGGGACGCCGCTTTTGCGAAACGGTCTAGCCCAGCCAAGCCGGTTTCTTTACCCTTTTCCCTCTAATTTAATTTGTCGTTTAATTTCCCACCAATTTATTTCCTCGCGGGCGGCCCCTCTGCGCTCTCTGTGTTCCATTAATTAGCAACGCGCGATACTTATTAACGGTACAGCTGTAACCGAATCGAAAGTGCACATTTCTCTCGTTTAATTCTTCCTTTACCGAACCCATCTGCGAGATCTTCCAGCGGTGTGCTCGAAGTTTAAAGGAGACAAGTTCCTGTTAATCCGACGAACTCCGGCGAGTGTGAATCCCCGTTGGATCGACATTGTCTCGACCGTGCGAATATGAGGGAATCGAAACGTCTCCCGAGCTGTTCCATCGTTTACCCGAAACAAAGCGAGCCCTTTGAAGGACCGCCACTTTGGAAAATTACGGGGATCAGTGGGAGAGCGAGCGTTCCCCGAATTAACCCTTTCGAGTGCGACGCGAAACCTACCTTCCGGAGTAGCACAATTACAGACACGCCGTGTGTATTTAAATTGGCGTATATCTTACAAATAACAATTAACTGCGTTACGCGTTGTCACTATTCGACTTTATGCAATTTCATTGTACTATTGGGCTCTCTTTTTTGCCCGTTTGAATGAATAAAAATGAAAAAATAAAAGTAAAATGTCTGTAGGGGAAAATTTTGAGCGTCGCGAAATTTTAGAGGAGAGCAAATATCTGCTCTTCGTGAGAAGAAATGCGTTGTTTCTGTGCGATCGTGTTTCTGTTCTCTGCAGGTGATCGACGTTGGAAAATTATCAAATTTAAAAAGAAACGACTAATAATTCGATGGCCTGGAGTCGTCGCCGAATCGATGAAAATTAATTAAGTATGCAGAAGGGTGAGCGTGGCCGGGGGTAACAACACCGCCATTAATATGTTAAAGCGCGTGTAGCTAATTACTACCGCATAAAATCAGGAAATGCATTGGGAAATATTTGCGGAATGGAAATTATTGTATTACAACATACGCGCGCATAATTCCCAATTATCGTGTATGTATACAATCAACTTGATTAACAGTCGATTTTCGAGAGGCAAACGGTCAAAATACCGGCTAGTTTGTACAATAATTACAACGCTCCCCGAGTTCCTCTAAAAAAAAGAAGTTCCGTTTATCGTACACTTTAGCCGGTACTTTGAAAATTATTCGTCGAGTGGATTTCTCTCGAAAATCTTTCAAGCCTACACGGTCGTTATCGAGAGGAGAAGGGGAACTTTCCTGTTGGAAGAGTTGCCTGCGTTTCTCCTAGCTCTGTTCTTCCTCGGCGAGATGCACGCGCCTCGACGATAGCTCGATGATAAATCGAAAAAGTTTCGCTTAGGAAATCCTTGGGAATATCGAAATTTCCGTTGGACGGGGCTCTGGCAGCGTCCAAGGAGGAATCCTCGTACGATATTCTTAGAGGGAATAGGATATATCGTTGTCAGAGATTCATACCGCGCGTGGTTGGTCCCCTTTTCTCGAAAGACGGATGCTTGGCAATCTTAGGATCGCGGAATTTTCATATTACGAAGCTCGAAATTGCCGCGAGGACGTGTCGAATAACCCGGTACGCAGGAACTT